ATTTCAGACCACGTGTCATTCCCTTGAGAATAAGATTTCTTGTTTGAGTTGTATCCATATTCATGTGTCTTCTCATGTACAACCGTCAAATAATGCTACTCTAGGGAATGAGATGGGAAAACATTACGCTCGAGCCGAGAAGGTCTGTTTGTCGAATAACCAAGACGGAAAATGCATTAGCTTTATCTCCTTAAGAAAACTAACTTTATCAGCTTCCATTAAGATATATTTACTTTTTAAAATAATAATAATTATAAATAATAATACCGAGGTGGCACTTGAAAAGTTTCAGTATAGACAGCCTGTCAGGGTGTCTTTTTATATGACTTTACGTTATCCAATGTGAAACACATCTAAAAACCAACTAGTTAAATTTGGTGGTAGTTGGAACAATATTTAAAACACTAACGTGTGCGAGAGCCATTTGAAAAACTCAGTCGCCACTCTATACTTTATAAATATTTCTACGTTTGCTCTCTGGCCATCCCATAATTTAAGATGGTTGGGAACGAAAATGTCGTATCAGTAAAAAGGTGTAATGTGAACTAGCGAGGGAGATAGGGGACTGAGTTTAATCCTCGCACCCTCCCTCCCTCCCTCCCTCCCTTTCTCCCTCCCTCCTCCTAGGACCGGTGGGCTTCCTGTGTGTTTGGTACGTGTTTAAGTCTAAACAGAGCGTTTGCGCATTTTCTCCATTTACTGTCTATTTACTATCTACACGTTTTAAATTTCAATCAAGTTTGATTTTAGCCTTAGTTTTCAAACGAACTGACAGAAGTCTCTGCGACAAAATAGCTTTTAATCTTTTCTCCGGAGAGCACGCATATCATTTATGTAAACTGTGTGCACAGAAACCATAGAAACGGGCTTTGAGTACAGGAAATGTGGTATTTTTTTACTTAAAAAGCTAACTTTGTTTACATAACTTCAAAATTAACGAGAAACAACACTCGTTCTTAAACAAAGGTGGTTTGTACAAGTTCTGTTTTTTTGGCACTGAACCATTGTTTTTTGTTGAAAAAACATTATCCCAGTCCTATATTATTTAAAGTGCTATGTTTTTGGAAACAAAAAGGGACATTGAATTGCATGCGTAAAAACTATGGCAGGTTTTCAATCAATGTTTGCCAAATGCAGATATATTCGACCTTTTTGTTTAAATAATCCCCGCTTTAGTTACACCTCCTATGATTGGTCAGTGAACCGTGTATAATAACATAAGGACAGTCCAATTAACCAATCACAATCCGTGTTACAAACCCAGCAAATTGGTTCAAAAAGTTAATTTTGTGTTAACTAACTCCTAACGAGAGCTCACCTTCATTATCTTGGTTTCCTCACGCTTTATCCTGGCAAAAATTAAAATATCCGTCTCCATAGTGAAGCGATAATATAGAAGCATGTTTGGGAAAGCTTATTTTGTAATTATTTGAGCTAATTTGGACGTTATCCGAAGATGTTGATGTTGGCCGAAGCTGGCCGCTCTCTCAACAGGAACCTAGAAAGTTTATTTCGACACAACAGTGAAACTCCAAATGTCCTTGAACGGCTTGTACGAGAGATTCACACCGACAAAGAACTATGTAGCTACATGTTCTTGAACCATCCTGGCTCTGAGGATATGCTATGGGGATTATTATCTCTGCTGGACAGCGATGATTCAAGGTAAAACCTTTACAAGTCTGCAATAAAAACTTCAATTCATCACATGCAAAAAAAGTTTGAAGTAATTTGTCGTCCCTTTTTTTTTTTTTTTTGCACTCGAAAAATAGAGGTCTGCGGACAAGTTTTCACTTAGTGTAGTACAAGACTCCTAAAATATTCTAATCTTGCTCAATATTTTGAAGTTAAATTTGATTTCCCTCGAGGAAACGTTAAATGTTAATTTTGACATGGTGTGTAAACTTTTAAGTAGTTTTGCTTTTATTTTTTCTGGGATAAGAACGGGATAAGACCTGGTATTGTCAGGTGTTTTTCTTTTACCTCAAAAGGATATTTATTCTGTTATTCTTTGTTAAGACAACCTTCGAGGGATAGCACCTAAATTGTCAATCAAAATATAAAGCTGCAAAATAAATAAAAAATATTACTTCAAAATAATTCAAATAAATCTAAGCTCAGCTGACGACCAATTTTAAAGGTATTTCAATTTTTCCCCCTTAAAAATATTACTTGTGAGGAAGGAAGAAAATGCAAAAAAAATATTTCCAGACGGAAATATGTTTTGAATATTATTTTTTGAAAAGTGATACTACAAAAATAGACCACAAATTTATATAATTGTCTTGTCACATCACGAGTCATGCACTTAATCGTTATCGGACATTTTATCTTTCAATCTAAACAGCATTATATATTGCTCTTCTGATTAAACAATATGACCTATAGAAATTCTTATTTTCCACCTAAAGTCCAAAATGGTGAAAATGTTTGTTTTCACGTAACTCACTCGGCCTTGCACCATTTTGGACTTATGTGTATACAAACTTGGCTACTCCGCTAAGGGACTAATGTCAGAGAGTGAAAGATTGCATTAACAACTTCCAAACATACAGAATTCATTTGACAATGTCTTATGGAAGTAGAAAAAAAAGGCTATAAAAATGCATGTTTAAGTTTTTATATGATTTTGCACAAAACTTGAAAAGAGAAACGAAAAAAAGAAACAAGAAATAGATGAAATTTCTTTAGTTAAGCTAAGTGTTTAATTTTGTGTTACGCATTTTTGATAATCAACTGTACTTAAATCTCATACATAATTTTTCTGTGAAAATAGTTTTTCTTGCTTTCAGGTGGTTGGCTAATGTACTGACATGAGACACTTTTTAGTTTTAGTCAAAATAGGATGAGTGGTTCACTAGAGAAGCTTTTGAAAAATAAAATTAAGTTTGGTATTGCTTTAGAGATTCCCTCTCCTATCCTCAACCCCTCTCCCCCTCCCCTCTCTCCAATCCTGAGAGAGCCTTGTTCACAGGCTACTTTGAGTCAGAGTGTTTACCAGATACCAAAGAGACCCTCTCAAAAACTGAATGTGTTTTTAAAATACCTCCTTGAATTCTTTAGACAATCAGAATGCTGAAACTTTAAAATCATTTAACAAAATCATATATTGGCATATTGGTTTTAAATTCTGGCTTCCCATTTCTATGTGAGAGTTATGCCATCTGGTATATATTAGTTTCAGGCTATAAATTAAGATCCCTATTTTTTCAATGCATGTTTATGAACTCAACTGTTTTCTTACAGAAAATAAAACTTAAAAATTATATATAAAATTATACTCTATTGGCATATTGGTTTTAAATTTTGCCTTTCCACTTTTATCTGAGAGTTACACCATCTGGTATATAGCTCAAGGCTATAAATTAAGATAATGATAAAAAATATTGACTTCCCATTTTGCCACAATCATACATATTATCAGAAAGAAAATTAGCAAGTAAAAAAGTTTGAGCTGCGCTAGTGTATTGACAACTCTTAAAACTTTAGTGTATGTGGGCTTATCCTCATCAGTGAGGCAATTAAAACAAAAGCCGAAATTAGAATAACAAAACAAGCAACTCCTGGATTCGAGGCTAAGCCTGCATACACTGAAGTTTTAAGAGTCGTCAATAAGGCATAATTGATGGATATTATATAAGTTTGTTAATGAACACCATATAATGAAAAAAATATACTAAACTGACATATATTAGGAGTCGTTAGTCTTTTATAAGGGTGAGGGGTATATATAGTTTAATGTCCTATGCAGCAGCTACTGTTAGCATTGTCACTCAATATTTTCCTAATTGTGTAGTTCCAGAAATTATCCATTCCCCCTCCCTTCCCCCCACAGAGGAATTTGGAAATTCAGAGGGGTAGGGGTCAAAGAAAGAACAAAATTACAGAGTTTGTATGGTAGAAAATTGGAATTTCAGGGGGTAGGGCAGAGGTATTTAAAAACCCTCTGTTTGGGGGGAGGGGTATGGATAATTTCTGTAACTACACATTAGAGGAGAAAGCAATGTATAAAGACACTAAAAACAACTGCATAGGAGAAAATTTAGAGTTGACAACAAGAGATGGCTAAAATGGAGTGGATGCTTTTTAATTCAGGATTTCTTTCCAATTTTTAGGGTTGCTGGGAATGCAGCTTACGTGATTGGTACGTTAGCAGAAATGGATCTCGGCAAGAAGAGAATCATTAACATATTCACTGACAGGGGGGAGCAGACCAAAGAAGTCTTGCCATCATTGACCAAGATGCTTGATATGCTTGATATGGAGACAGTTATGAATGCCGCTGGGACTCTGGGGACTCTGGTATGAAAGAAAGTGATAGTTTCAGATTCCACAGGGTTCACAAAAAGCCACAGGATTTAAGATTCATTTTAATACTTGTACATTTACAAGATCCTCAAAATATTTGTTGTGTTTGATTTTTCTCGATTGGCATGATGAGGAAATACTGACACCTTCCCCATCCCTTGGAAATTCTAATTTCCCACAATATGGGAGGGATAGGATAGTTAATTCCCCTTACTCCTTAATTCCCAAACGTATACCCCTTGGATTGTAACCTAACTCTATAACTTGCGACTAACCCTAATTTTCTTGCCGATTTTTGCTGACCCTAATATTTTTTTCATTCCCAAATGCACCACAGGGTTCCCAGTAAGCTCATTTTCACTGTTGTATCAGTAAAAAAAATCCGACCTACCAATACCAATTATTTTTCTCATGCAACAGGAAACACACTTTTTTTTTGTTTGGCCTTAGTACAAACCCTGTTTATACAAAAGTAAAAAGGAAAGCATCTTGTATGATGATCCCAGACACCTTTGCATCACAACGCTCTCCTCATTCTACTATTCATTTCTAAGATGTGCAATTGAATTTCTTTTTCCTTGTACAGGCAGAGAATGAGGAATGTAGACTGTGGATGCTCAAAGAAGAAAGTCTTGACGATACTATAGATAAGTTGACCAGATTGTTATCATGTAAAGATATGTGTACTGCAAGTAATGCTGCTCTGGTCATAGCAAGGTATGTCTTAAGTTCACATTAATGTTGTCAGTTTAACCACTAGGTGCAACAAATTTTGTTTTGTTTCAAAGAGTAGAGATGTAATCACCTGTGCAAAAAATATTTGCTGCAAGTTGAAGAGGTGATATCAGCAGAATTTGCTCTGCAACTTGCCAATTAAGCTATGCAAAAATATTATGCATGCAACAATTTGTCCACATGGAAGAGGTTTACCAAAGTCCACTGCCCTCTATATATCTCTGCTTGGAAAATTTTTACTTCCTTAGAACAAAAATCTCTGGCAGTAGACATTTAAGAGAGGTCAATTTAAGTGGCAACTCTACTGACATTACTACACTTTTTCTTTAAATCTATTTCTACGTTTCTGACTAACAGATTCACAATCGCTGAGGAGGGTTGTGCAAGAATTCTTCGACACAAAAACTCATTACGAACGTTAGTTCAGTTGTGCAAGGCTTTGGGAACAGACGAAACTGGTAATGGCATTGTGGTTAAAAATTACTTAACAAAATTGCTTTTGTTAGTCTTAATAAAACCATCATTCAAAAAATATTTCTTGCTTTTTTTAGGGCGAGGTATGAATTCAGCATTTGCTATTGGTAGATTGTGTGATTTAGAGGCTGGATGTGCTAGAATATTAGCAATGCCAGAATCTAAGCGTTTAGTAAGTGATTGCATGCACTGTATCATTGTCATCATCATTAAAATCATCTTCATCATAATCATCATCATCATAATAATAATGGGATTAACAGTGGATTCCACAGAGTGGCTCTTCCTCCACTGGATTCCAATTGGAATTCAGAAATCGATTTTTGCGGAGGGAGGAAAGCTGGAGAACCCAGAAAACCCTCAAAGCACAGGAGAGAACCAACAAACAACTCTACTCACATACGACACCAAGCTCAGCGGGACCCGAACCCAGGTCGCATTGGTGAGAGGGGAGTGCTCTCACTGCTATGCCACCCATGCTTCCCACCCATGCTTATCACCGAACATCATTATCATCATGACCACAATCATCATGCATTGTCATCAACATCATTATCACTGTCATCTGATTACCAACATTAGCATTGCAGGTGCCTCATCATCTTTCTCATAATCATAATTATAATATTAATTATTATCACCATCATCATCATTATTTCCATCATCATGTAACATCACCATCTTTGTCATCAAGATCATCATCATGCATCACCATAATCATCACTATCATCATCTCACCATCACCATTATGCATGTCATCATGTATTATCACCACCACCATCATCATCATCATCATCATCCTCATCATCACCACCATCATCATCACCATCATCATCCTCACCATCACCACCACCATCATTATCATCATCATCCTCACCATCACCACCACCACCACCATCATCGCCACCATCATCATCATCGCCATCATCATCATCACCATCATCACCATCATCATCATCCTCATCATCACCACCATCACCATCCTCATCATCACCACCATCATTGTCACCATCATCACCATCATCATCATTATCATCATCACCATCATCATCATCATCACCATCATCACCATCATCATCATCCTCATCATCACCACCATCATTATGTATTATCACACTAACATCATGTATAATTATTGTCCTCATATTCACCGTAGTTGTTCTTTATTGTTATTGTTTTCATCATTTTCATTTTTATCATCTTCATCATCATTTCTATCTATTGTCCCTATTCTGATCATCCATATTATCTTGTTAATCATTAAACAGATTGTCAGTCTTATCAACATGCTTGGCTCAGATGACATTGGTTGCACCAAGAATTCTTGTTTTGCACTCAGCTGTATAGCATCATTCCCTCAGGGTCACACACGTTTACTTGCCCACCCCGAAATAGACAACATTATCAGGATTTTATCAGGACTCTTGTCATCACATGATGACGAACTCGTTTGGTTTTCTGCAATGTGAGTACATGCTCGTACCAGAGCTATAGATTATGATTATATAGTTAGGATAGTGTGTACGCGCTGATTGGTCGAAAACTGTGCTCTACTAGAGAACGGAGCACAGTGCAGACGCCATCTGCGTGCGCGAAGTACTGCTAGATCCTGTGACCGTCTTTCTTTTTGCCTACAAAATTCAATACCAAAATAAAATTAGTGCCTATATAATAAAACAAATAAAACAGTTTCATTTGTTAATTGATAGCTTAGTGTAAATGCATCCAACAAAAGAGGTTTTGCACCATCACATGCCAGTGGCTATGCTAGGTGCCAGAACAATAAGAACCGTTTACTCAAGGGAGCACGCCAAAATCCTGATTGTGTTGGTTTATCTTCGATTTTATCGCACGTATTCTAAGATATAGCAGGCGTTCCTTGTAGTTCTTGTTTACGTGCGCGCGCTACACTTCATGGCAGAATTTACTCCGAAAACCGACGAATATCTTGCGAGGAGCGGAGCGACACTCGTCATTCCCTTCCTTACACGATCGTAAGCCATTCGGATCGGCCGAAACCAAAACACTACGAGGAACGCCTGTCACAAGATGGATTGCGCGCTAGATAGATCAACAAAGAACAATGACTTTCCTTACACAAACAAAATTTTAATGTGTTCCCTTGTTTTAGACTGCACTTAAATCATGATTTAAGGATATTTTCTAACATTCTCTTTAGGATGCTGAGGACAATAGGAAGTCAGAAAAATGGATGTTTGTATCTCAGAACACAAGAACCCGTCAAACCAGCTTTACAGGTAGACAACATTAGCAGTTCAGTAACCTTCTCCCCTTTCAAACCCCCTCCCCCCTCCCCC